GGTGAGTGAGGAGAACGGGAACCTGTACGTGAACGAGAGGCTGGACCGGGAGGAGATGTGCGGCGAGTCGGCGACCTGCTCCGTCAGCTTCGAGGCGCTGGTGCACAACCCGCTGAACATTTTCGAAGTTGAGGTGTCCATCGAGGACGTGAATGACAACTCTCCGACCTTTAGGAAGACTTCTTTGGGCCTCGAGATCGGTGAATGGACGCTGCCTGGTGCTCGTTTTCCTTTGGAGATGGCCAGAGATGCGGACGTAGGAAATAACGCCCTGTTGACTTACCAGCTCAGCAGCAACCCGTCATTCAGTTTATCATTAAAGGAGAACCCCGGTGGAAAAAAGCATCCAGAATTAGTATTGGAGGGAGCGTTGGACCGGGAGAAGCAGAGCTCCTTTGAAATGGTGCTGATGGCGGTGGACGGCGGGGAACCTGCGAGGTCTGGGACTGTCCAAATTCTTATCAACGTGACTGACTTAAATGACAATCCACCCAAGTTCAGTAAAAGCATATACGAGGCGCGAGTGGCAGAGAATTTGCCGGTGGGTTCTGTGGTGCTGCGCGTATGGGCTACGGATGCAGATGCAGGCTCCAATGGGCGAGTTTCCTACTCATTCGGCAACGTCCCGGATGACGTCCTTTTGTTGTTCACTGTCGACAGAGACAGCGGGGAGGTCAGGACGGCGAGTACCCTCGATTTTGAAGAGAAAAGTAAATATATCTTCGGCCTGGAGGCAAGAGATGGCGGCGGGCTCACTGGTCACTGCGAAGTGCAGATCTACATCACTGACGAGAATGACAACGTACCGGAGATAACAATTCTATCCCTCACGAATCCTGTGCCCGAGGACGCTCCAACTGGCACTGTAATGGCCCTGCTGAAAGTGCGGGACAGAGACTCCGGCGAGAACGGTCAGGTGTCATGCGAGCTGTCGGGAGAGGCGCCGCTGTCGATCGTGGCGTCGTCGGGCGGCTCGTACAAGGTGGTGACGGCGGGCGCGCTGGACCGAGAGCAGGC